CCATTGACCTGGTACTTTGCTGCCATTTGGCTAAGGACATAGCTAGAAATATAGGGTATTATCTGCTTGCCAGCTCAGATGTTCTGTACATGACTTTTTAACAAAATTGTGCATACTACTTACCTGTTTGAGGTAGTTTTGAGTTCGTTGCCCTCACTTGACTCTGCTTGCGCATCCGTTATTACTATAAATAGCACATGGCATGCGCGCCTCAGGGTGTGACGTGCATCATGTGTTTTACCCAACTAATACGGAAAAATCAGTTGTCTGGAATAATAAAACTCACGATACATTCGTCTCGCATGTATTCTATGCTGTTCTTGGAGTTCATTATCCTCGCGAAAATGTCTGCCCCCAGGGAGAATCGAACTCCCGACCCCTGGTTTACAAGACCAGTGCTCTAACCCCTGAGCTATGGAGGCACGTGCGGCTCCTATGTTGTTTCCACCAAATTGTGTTCTATGCTATTCCTGAGCCTTCCATTTTTTGATTAGCCCTTCTGAAGTCAATGTCGGCTGCTCACCAGTCGTCGCATTCTCCGCGCGCCACCTCAGCTTGTGATCCGGACCGGAAGTCTCGCCTGTCGGCTAACCTCCCCGATCTCGAGAGCGTCAGTCTGCGACATTCTATCAGCCTGCGCGGTGGATTAAATTTCACTCCCAAGGCCTCCGCCGAATACGAGACAGACCGAACACCCGAAAATGAAACTGCCATTGAGGCCTCCTACATTTCGCCATCATTACTTTCACCCATTCTTAAAAAAGGTCAGTTCCCCCTCCTTCTGAATTCCTTAACGCATCTGAAAGTTTGTGGCTTTGGTGGCTGTTGTGTGGCTATGATCAATAAATATGTAGCTGTGCGGGTAAGAGGGTTATCGCTCGGTCTCAGCATAGAAAGGACAGACAGGGAGAGTCTTATATCCTTTTCTGAACATCATTTTTCACGCACGCCAGAAATCATGCCAAATATGGCGTATGTGTTTGTTGGTGCGCAGACATACAGCAGGAGATAAATAAGTAGATTATATATTTAAGGCCCAAAAGGTCTTTTCATTACAAACTTAGTGCTATGCTAAAAATGAATACGAAATTGACAATTACAGCAGTGTGTGAGCAATTGTATAAACAAAAAAAGACTAATATTGTATGCAGATTATGTCACATCCGATTCATAACGGTCCGCCATTTAAAACGATAGTCAACAATATTTGGTAAATATGGCGAACTAAGGAAGAGGCAGGGCAAAAAAACTACTTGAAATTTGCGGCAGAGTTCAGTGGGCCCCGATTTATGACGGATTATTCGATTAGCAGGTTTGAATGTCTGTACCGATCAAAGCAGGAAGTAATAGATAACGGTGCGGACGAACAGGTGAGGTCTACAAGTGAATAAAGCCGTCCTTGGAGGAGGACAAGCGTCAAGCGGCTCAGAAATGGAATTTCGGCAGGAGTTTCCTTGGTAGTGGCGGAATAAAACTCCACATTTCCAG